TTTGTCCTGAACCACTATTCTACCCCAAGCGACTAAGTTTCATCTCCTCCTGCACCCCAATCACCAGCCACCCTTTTAGCATGGTCTGCTCTCAGGAGGATGGCCCCAGGAACAAGCTTGCATGGGCCCTGAAATGGCTTGAGTCCCTCTGAGCAGGGAATTTCAGACTCCTGAGACCCACCCAGGGCTTGACCTAGAAGGGAGGCTGTGGGCTTTGAGTGGATACAGCCTCCTGGCTGTAGGGATTACCTGCCTCCAGTGGAGGGCATAGCTGAAGGAAATCTAGAGCAGGGCCTTCCAAGCTTTAAAGTTTTGGGAGTCGGGGGACAGTTCAAGTGGTAGAGTATGCGCTTAGCATGCATAAGGTCCTGGGTTCAATCCCCAGTACCTCCATTAAAATAAATAAATAAATGAAATAATTAATAATTAAAATAAATAAATAAATGAAAAACCTAATTACCCCCCCCCACATAAAAAATAAATAAATTTTTTAAGAAAGGTTTAAATTGTGGGCCTCCCTATAGGTGAGGGGGCCCAAGTAAGGCACGCCAGTTGCCCAGGTCTAAGGGTAGTTACTGGCTATGGGGTTCAAAGATGGAGGAGAGCCTATTGTAAGCAAGGATGTGTCATGATTGGGGGAACCACCTTAGGGCCCTTATGAGTACTCTTTGTCTTGTGTTATGACCTCTAATTTTTACCAGTGGCCACAATCAGTTAACGTAGGACCCTGCATCATTATGCTCCCATCTCTCCTCTCTTATCGCAGCCACATCCTTGTCCTCAACTCCCCCCATCACAGCTCAGTTTTGCTATTATTTATGATTTTCAACCATTAAGCAGCCTTGAGGAGTTAGAATGTCTCAAAATTTTTTGGGATTTTGAAATACTTTATAGGGAAAAGAAGAGAGTTCAGTGGTTAAATAGTTTTAGGGAATGCTGCATATGCTAACGCCCTAGCCTGGTGACTTACAGTGCAGCTTGGCATTCTAAAGGCTCTGACAATTCCTGCAGTAAACAAATCTGTATTAACTTTATTTAATTCTTTGGTTCCCAATTGTATTTGAAAATAGACACGTCACTCCTTTGATTCCAAAGCGGTAATCATTGATAGTTTCTGCCTTAACGGAGCATTCAACCAAGGGATTTATCTATTCTCTGATACCTATTTATTACTCCAAAGACTGGACTAAGCATACAAAGGGAAACAAAATAAGACTGTGCCTTTGGGGAGCTAGTAATCATCTTACCAGTGACTTCAAATGTTGATTCAATTTAACTGTGTAGAAAGTTCAGCTCTGTTTGGAAATCTTAGTTCAGTTATAACTTGAGGTCAGTTGCCATTTATTTATTTTTAATTTTATTTTAAACCCCTTTATTGTGGTCTAATTTCTGTACAGTAAACTACACATATTTCAGATGTACAATTTGATGAATTTTGATAGATGTGGTTATCATTTAAATGGCTGGAAAAAAATGCATGACTGTCTTCAGTGTGCCTACTGCTGATTACATTTTCCAAGTGTGAAAGAGGTCTTAGAACTAGAAAATCAGGTATCTTTTTATCTCAGATCTTATGTGGACCATCCTTGGGCACTTTGGGGGTGATGTGGCCAGGTACTACCTTGTGAACAAAAAATACTGCAAACCACATCAGTAAACAAAGAATGATGAAGCCATCAAGTCATCAGTGGCTGCCGCTACCCCCCAGGGAAGACAAGCCTGCAGCCCAGCCTCTGTAGCCACTCACCATGGTGCACCCTGAGGGGACTCAGAATAAGAAAGGACAGGATACTGGCCCTAGACAGCCAGGTGCTTGTCAGAGGAATGAATTCAATGAGCCCACATGTTTGCTCCCTCCCATACATAGAAAAGCACTAAATTCTTTAACTTCTTGAGATGCCTAGTTTTCTTTAGTTAACAAGCCATCTTTTAAAGTTCCAACTACCTGGTCTTTGTTGTAAAGCTCCTATACATCCTAGCTTCCTCCCCCCCCCCTCTTTGGAGCAGTCCCTTCAGTCGACAACCTACTAGGATTTGTTGGGGGGGCTAATGTGGCTCATTACTGCCTCGAGACTGATGGGATTTGTCCCAACCTCCCAGGGTACTTTGGGGCCTCTGTGGCCTATCACTACTTCCAAGGATACTTTGTAGGCTGTCAAATGATTGTCGACTGACATAAACGCGCAGCCTAAAAGTTAAGAGTTATATTTTATTTGGCGGGAGGACTCGAGCCGGGATGACAGCCTCTCAGATCGCTCTGAGGGACTGCTCCGAAGAGGTAGGGGAGGAGCTAAGATATATAGGAGCTTTACAACAAAGACCAGGTAGTTGGAACATTAAAAGATTACTTGTTATCTAAAGAAAAATAGGCATCTCAAGGTAAAGAATTCAGTGCTTTTCTATGTATGGGAGGGAGCAAACATGTGGGCTCATTGAATTCATCCCTCTGACAAGCATCTAGCTATCTAGGGCCAGTAACCTGTCCTTTCTTATTCTCAGTCCCCTCAGGGTGCACCATGGTGAGTGGCTGCAGGGCCCGGGCTGCAGGCTTGTCTTCCCTGGGGGGTGGCGGCAGCCGCTGATGACTTGATGGCTTCATCATTCTTTGTTTACTGATGTGGTTTGCAGTATTTTTCGTTCACCTGATGAATGTTCTTCCAGGAGCCTGCTCAATCCAAGGATCGATAAAGCATTAGAGCTGTTGCTACTTAGAATCTTTGTTTTTGTTTGGGGAGAGGAGCCCAGGCTCTTTGGGGAGAGTTTCAGAGCTTCGTGTACATTTCAGATCTTAGGTTTTTTATCTCATCCCTTGCCTGCCATGATCAAGAATGTGCAATGTAACTTGACATGAAATCAGAACTGCTTGCCTCCCTAGGGCTGTTTTTAGGTATGGTATTTGATGGAAGCAGGAAAAGGCCTGGGTGGTCTCTCAGCAACTCTTTAGTTACTGTGATTGTGGCAGATGCTATCCGTGCCCCATCCCTATTTC